GCTTCCATCTATTGACCCGTAACAAGTATAATTTACGAACTCGTGTTGTAGGACTCGTACATTTTTTCTTCTTCTTGTAGAAGAACTTTTTCTTCTTTACGTCAACTTTCTTTAAAAGTTCTCGTAATTAGACAATTATTAAAACATGTTCATAATAGATTCTTAATTTTAGAACATTTTAAAAGTCTTGCCACTCCACGTAACTGTACATCTCAACTCGAACAAATTTGCAATATAATTGGACTTGAGAGCCCTACATCAAAAAATAGATGTAATAATATCTAGAATAAGAGTATGTATGTTCAATCCAACACTATTTCAGTACTTGATTTGAAGGGATTACAGCAAAATCAAGAGAGATCACCAGAAATTAAACAAGAAATTCTAAGGAAACATGTTTTCTGAACAACAACTTCACTTCAATAAATCAATTTCTAAATTATATATGCTAAATGTAATAAAAATCTAATTGAAATTTTGATCTACTTCATCTGCAGAATATATATTACCATTTTCATCCTTAAATCTCACTCTGTCTTTTGTATTATCACAACCCCCGGGACTAATGTATCCATCTTGAGATCCTGCATTGCTAACGAGGCCTAGAATCCGAACCATCCCTTCGACTGGAGGATTCTACATACCTGCTGCTGCTTGAACTTGAACAACAATCTGCTTCTTGAGAATCCCATTCTTTTGATTCTGTAATTTTATTTAGGGAACTTGCTGAATCCTCTTGTTCACTGTCCATATGTCGATTAAAATCTTCGGTGTGTTCACTTGATGTTTTTGAGCTTGGAGATGGGGTACGCGCTGAAAGAAGCTTAGGAAGGGCACCACCAGGTGGAGCCATTGCTAAGAAACTAAGACCGGTTACAACATCGCATATAAAGGGACGGACCAATGGATCATCTTGAAGACACATAGCTGCAACTCCGACCGCTTGATTTAAGCTTGTTACTGGAAATTCCAGATTGAGACGTGGATCTACCATTTCTGGAAATCTCTCCGGGTCTCTAAAAAAAGATTGTGCCTGTTCAATCATGTACAGATTGCCGAATCAGTTACACACATTCACATAGAAAATTGGGCTTTTTTTTTCCCCTTCAAAGTGGTCATTGAAACTTGCTTTTTGTGTATGATTTGATAAAGCTTGGCGACTAACATGAAATAAGCAAATCATGATCGAGTGTGCATACCCAAGTAACTAAATTTTGCTCGTTAATTGGTCTTGCATTGTCTAAGGCTCAGCGTCCTATGATAAGCTCTAGTAAGACGACTGCAAAATTGTGTACATCTGATTTTAGCGACGATTCACCTTGTCTTTCGTACTCTGGTGCAAAGTAACCGTAAGCTGTCATGACCCCAGGCATCACTTACATCTTATTCCCACTGTGTACAAGCTTGGCAAGTCCGTAATGGGAGAGTCTTGGAATCGACTCTTGGTCCAACAAGATATTTGAGGATTTTAAATCGCGATATATGATAGGGGGATTTGCTTTCTCATGTAAATATTCAAGTCCTTCCGTATCACTTGAAGCTATTTACATTCTAGCTGACCAATCTAATAATTTTCTCTCTGCTGAAGTGTCTACAAAGATGAATTGAGAATCCATTTCATTTCAAGAAAACAGTATATCAAATCTTACTAGATGGTTCGAGCATGTTCTTACTATCATTCAGTATTGAAAAAAGAAAAAAATTCACATACCGAATAGGTAATCATCTAGAGATCCCGATGGCATGTATTCGTATACCAAAAGCCTCTGATCCCCATCAGCACAATATCCAACGAGAGAGACCAAATTGGGGTGGCGAAGGAGACTCAACATCAAAATCTCGACTAGAAATTCCTTAGTTGCAAGTGTCCCACTCCTGTCCAGTTGCCTCACAGCCACAACCCATGAGTAGCAGAAATTAAGGCTGTCTGTCTTGTTTAACAGTGCAAGCGTTGAAGGTATAATAAAGAAAACTTTTATCTGTATT